TATATATATATATATATATATATATATATATATATATTAACCAGTCAATTTTGCTTGCCATTCTTCCGTTCACATGCAATGGACAATTCCATCTTCTTACTGCGCATGTGCAGACTTGATTCACAAAAAGGTAGCAAAACAAATTTGAATTTGAACCATACTTGAATAAATACATTAACATCAGAACATGAAGCACATATAGTCATTCCAATAAGCACCGTTTATCTTGAATTATTGTATTGAATACCTGAATAGCATTATTTTAAATTGAATATATTAGTTTGGAATGCACTGAAACTTGAAAGTAAGTCTTAGGTTTCCCATCCCTGGTCTACATTAGAATTTTCAATACAAAGGCTGAATGACAAAAGTGCTCTGTCAACCACCAACGTTCTTCATTACATTATAAGACAGGTGCGTTTATAAGTGTACAATATATTTGTCACATATTTTGTTTGAAGAATGATGCTCATCCTTAGTTAATTACAAGAGCCTCTTAAAAATGATGACAGGAAGCTGTATTTAGGCAGGATTAAATTGAATGTGAGGTTCGAAGAATGTTCGTAATTTCAACAATAAAACGTCGGTTTAAAAATTCTCTTCGCAACTCACCATGTTGTTCGTTTCCACTATCCCTTATGGTTCCATTCCAGGAGAGCAACTTCACTCCACATCGACTCACGTCACGACGTTGCGGTCACACCCGTGTTATCACGACAAAACATGCATACGTACGTGAACATTCCTGACACACCATGAGGGAGGAACCGTGTGAGCCCCGCATACAAATGACAAAAGTGAGCAGTCAATGGTGGCAGCCTGCCCTCATTTTGTAGCGCGTCCTTTCCTTTCCCTGCTGTTCTAGCACCAAGTAAACTTTGTTAGCGAAGGACGATTGACCGTGGTTTTAGTCGATCCCAATTTTAGGTGCCTTCACAAGGCGAATGACCAATTACGTGAAATACTGACTACCGAAAAATGATGCGATTGTGTAACATTCGAATGTCGGAATTCCGATTGTCACAATGAAATGTGATTCTGGAACGTTGGGACAAACCTACAGAAATTCAACAACTCAACAAGAGAGGTTATCAGAGAGGTGGGGGGGGGGGTCCTTCTCATCTGGGGGAACTGTTCCATGACACCATGGTTGCAAGAGTTACAGTATCATAAAGTACCGGGTGCCCACAAAGAGCAGCATACTTTTTGCCCTATCTCCTCACAACGCGCCCAGCAACTCCAGCAACGTCGCTTGAATATGACGTTTACCATCCCACCCAAATCAGCTCCGTGTCGTCTGATGACGTAGAATCCTTGCGACTCACCTATCAACATGTGGGAAAGATGTGTTGACTGTAACCAACATGCGGACTCATAAATCATCAATTTCAAGGAACGCATTCGACAGAGCATAACAGTTTAAGTTTGTGTCGCAAACATCATGGCGAATATCAACCTTCACTTCAAAACAAAGTAAGTTTGAGTCCGGTCGCACAACCTGGTGGCTCAACGAGCTCAAGCTAAGCTAATTGTAGCAACGACTCACTGTCTTCGACAATACTGCCATTCTTTTACAGTTATGCGATTTCTAGTAAGATTGAGCCTTTCTACAAAGGAGGCAAAGTGCAGGTATAGTGTCAATTTTTTTTAATTCAGATGTCAATATTTTTAAGAAGCGTAACCGGTGTTTTACAAATAACACCAATCAAATCAGCGAACTGCCCATTTAACCTTTTGCTTTATTTCTTTGACAGGTCAGCAAAGATGAAAAATACATATTTTGCACGTGTGGCTCTCGTATCAATGTTCTGGAGATCAGCACAGGAAAGATCGTCCACAGCATTGAGCATGTAAGGCCAAACCCCCTCGCAGTTACAGCGCTGTGATTTGACATATGCTTTTCTCACTTCTATCTGATTTGTGCAGGATGATCAAGAAGACATCACATCATTCGCGCTAAGCTGGGACGATGAGGTAAGACTGCATGCTTTTTTTTCTCAGCAAGCTTAAGCAAAACCAATGTTTTTGCTTGTGTTGAAGTGCTCTTTGCGTTCGTGTTTCGCGTCCTTCCACAGATGCTGGTAACAGCCAGCAGAGCGCTCCTGCTGAAGCAGTGGGACTGGAGAAAAGTGCAGTGTACTCGCACCTGGAAGGCCATACACACAGTTCCCATAGCCAGTATGACTTTTGACTGCACCTCCACGCTCTTGGCCACAGGTCCGCATTAATAAAAAAAACACCTGTTATTTTTGTTGTTGCACTCATTTGCCCATGTTCAAAAGGCATTGCACAGTTTACATCGCGTCTTCTACATGTGCTTTTAGGTGGCTGTGACGGCACTATCAAGCTCTGGGATGTGGTGAAGCAATACTGCACTCATAACCTTAAAGGCTCTTCTGGTGTTGTACAGTAAGTGTGAAATGTGCCTTCATGTCATGAACGTATGAACTCAGTAGCAACAAGTATAACATCAATCTTATGTGTGCAGCCTGGTGGAGTTCCACCCAGACATTAGCCGTCTGCAGCTCTTCTCATCCTCCCTGGACTGCGGCATCCGACTGTGGGACCTGCACACCAGCCAGTGTGTGTGTGTGCTAAAGAGCCACTACAGCGCCGTCACTTCCCTCAGCTTCAGCCCCGACGGTGATACCATGATCAGGTACAAATGTTCAATGTGTAGAAATATATAGTCCGATCATGTGCCTTGTCACTCATTCCGTATTGAAAGCAGCTTCGGGGAAAACAGTTGTCGTTTAAAACAAAAAAACAGTGAAGAAAATGCGATTAAAAGTGTGAGGTGATGAATATTTGTTGAAATTGTCTTTCAAATAAGAATTTATGATTCTATAGTTCAGGGAGAGATAAGATCTGCACGGTGTGGGATCTGAAAAGCCGAACCGCAAAGAGAACTGTACCCGTCTATGAGGTAAGCTATTGGATGTTAAAAATATATATGTAATTTGTATTGTGTCATCTGTTGATCTAGAAATTATCATTTGTATGCAGGCTGTGGAGGGTGTTGTGATCCTGCCTGTGAATAAAGACCTCTCGAAAATAGGAGTCCAGAACAGAGACTTACATTTCATCACAGCTGGCAGCAAAGGTTCAATTTTGACTCAGTCCTAAATGTCCTAAGAGTCTATTCCTACATTCCGTTGCATTAAAAGTCTTTCCAACTGACCCATGCAGGCCTACTGAGAGTGTGGGAGGCTAGCACGGCCCGCTGTGTCTACAGCCAGGCCCTCCCGTCCAAGCTCGGCCCTTCTTCGGAGGATGAGGAGGAGACGGAAGACGACCCCCGCAGTCTAACGTACTTGCTTCACCTGCCTGAATCTGGCAGGCTGGCCACAGTCACTGCGGAGCACAACATAGTGCTCTACCAGCTGCCCGCTCTCAGCACGCAGCAACAGGTGAGTCATCAACGTCATGCATCTGGATACTTAAGTTTATCAATTAGGTTTAGAAACATATGCAAGTGGTGCACAAATTCTGCCTTTCAGACTTTGGTGCTCAGGATATTAATCCAATATGCCGAGTGAGGTTTTGCTGTCAAATATTTTGTGGTTGTTTTCTACCCGTCATATTGTCGACCTAATTTCTTCAAATGGTTATTAAAATAAGCCCCCCACACCCATTGGTTTTGACTAGTAACCCACAGTGGATATAAAAAGTCTACACACTCCTGTTTCAGCATCAGGTCTTTGTGAACACATTTTCATTTTGTTCGAATTTGTCGTGGAACTTCAACCTTAGGCAAGCTTCCAGGCTTCAGCAAGAAATTGAATATCAGGAGAGGCCAACTAGAACAATGCAACTATATTTGGTGTTAATAACCAAATGAAATTCTTGCTTCACCTTTTACATGACTGAATTTAGTTCCACAAGTCATAAAAGTCTGAGCCACTTCTCTAATTTGAGTTATTTCCCACAGTTTGTGGGCTACAGTGACCAGGTGCTGGACGTGAAATTCCTGGGTCAAAACGACAGCCACATTGTGGTGGCCACCAACAGCTGTCAGCTCAAAGTGTTCGAGCTGCTCACCAACACCTGCCAGATCCTCTACGGGCACTCGGGTGAGTCGCCAGCAGATGGCAGCGTGTGCTTGCACATTGAGCTGCAGGAAAACGTGAGGATGTGCACTGAAAAGCACATACGTCATCAGAATTTTGAACAAAGAAACACAACTGCACTAAGATTTATTCAATGACCTTGATTAGAGCAGCTTCAAGTCCATCTACCAGTGTGCTCTTTGTCACCACTAGTAAGAAAGTTCCACCAGGATTATTATTGATGACAAAAATGAACAAAATAATTACAATTGAAATTGAAAAAAAAAAGTTTTCCATAAAAAAAAAAAAAAAAAGAGTTTTTAACTAAAATTACATTTTTGCAAACTACCTAAAACGAAATGTAATTGATGCTAGCCCTCTGTTAATTCAAGAAAATGCCCCAATGGTCACAGAAAAAACTTTTTAAAATGAATACTACCCATTAAAAATCAGATATTGATTTTCAATTGTGGTTCAACAGAATTATTTAAAAAACAAAACCAAATTCGTCAAACAGCCCTGGACAAAAATTATGGTACCCGTAGGAAAGATTGTAAGTAATTTGAGTCAGTCAGTCCGCTCTTTTAAAAGGGTGTCAATTAGTCACGGTGCTGTTTGGTGACATGGTGTGTACCACACTGCCCAAGGACCAGAGGAAGCAAAGGAGAGTGTCGTCATTGAGTTGATTCTAATTATACTTATTTTCTGCTGGACCAGCTTTATAACAGCTGTACAGAACAAGGAAGGTCGAATACCGGTAGTTGTTTCGGAATTGTAGTTTACTCATGATGTGTCACTTAGAAGTGGCCATAGCCTTTGTACTGGCCGCTGTCCTGGCACGCACAGCGAGTTGACGCATTTTATATGGGTACTCTTCTCAACTGAGTCATCAATGATTTAGACTCAAATCTCAAGGCACTACTGTTTGTTTTATTTGCATTATGTTTTTTTATTAGCTTGGAACATTGAACTACTACTATTTCCCATTTCCCGGTACTGTAATTTAATCGTAAGGATAGTGCCGTAAGAGTGGAAATATGATGTAACAAAGCTTGACGGGGTTTTCATAGATGCCTCTGATGATCCAGATCCTGTTGTACCTGAAATGGGGATCATATTCACTATTTTACGCAACATTGGTCATAAGAATGAAGACAATGCTGTGATGCTGTGATGACTGACTACTGAATGAGCAGGTTGAAGGAATGTCAACCTTTCACATCACATTTCCTTCGTCACAGATACTGTCCTGTCATTGGACGTGTTTACAAAAGGCTTTGTCTTTGCCAGCTGCGCAAAGGTGAGCACACATGCCTGCGCCCTTCACAGTGACTCTTTCCCAGCAAGTCATGCCCTCGACGGTAACAAGCACTTGTCGTGTGGTGTATCCATTGCACAGGACAGATCAGTGCGTGTGTGGCACATGGACGCTGACAGCGGCCGCGTCCGCTGTGTGGCCTACAGCTCCAGCCACACAAACGCTGTGGGCTCCATTTCCTGTTCCAGGTAACACTCAGCACCGTTTCGCACCGTGCTCCAAATTATTACACATGATGGAGGAATTAAACATTTGAGCTTCAAATATGGTCGGGATAAAAGGAGAAAAAGAAAGCTCGTATTCGCCATCTTTCCCTGATCCCAACCCGATTGAGGACTGAGAAATCCATGAGGGTTGATGGCAGTACACCTCAAAACATTAACTCTGTTCGTCAATGATCATAGTTCAGCGTCTGTCAGAGAAATATGGAGTTCTTTACGTGTTGAACTGTTTTTCAAACTGCTGTGCATAATAATTGGCAAGATTGCATTTTGAAAAACAAAACGCCGTTGTCAGCATTAGTCGTATTTATTTTTACATATGTGTAGGTTGCGGAGCCCAATGTCGTTGTGGATGATAAGAAAAAAAAATTAAGTGCGAATCCCAGAGACGCGCGGTGTCAAAATCATTTTCCTACCAGTAGTTATGGTTTCCCTCAGAAGGCTGTTGATTGTGCGAACCGCGTAAACGTATGTCATATTAACACATATACACCAAATCCCATATAATTCTATTGTTAGTATCTATCTTGTTGACAACATCTTAAGTTCCATCTTAAGGAAACATGGTCTTTTCTTCCACTGCTATGCAGATGGTTGTCAGATCTATGTCCCACTGAGCAAAAAAGACGCTTTCTCATGAAGGCCACTTTTATCCTTCCTGGAGGAAATCAAAACCTGGATGGCACTAAATTTCTTGAATTTCAATGAAAAGAAGACAGAGGTGATACTGTTTGGTCCCAGTGGCCCTTGTACATCCATCCTGTAGGTGTGGGCATTTGTCTCCTTATCTTAAGTCAACAGTCTCAAACTTGGGTCTTAAACTGGACAGTGATTTTAAACTTGACCGGCAAATTGGTGCCGTTGTTAAATCCAGCTTCTTTTATCTTAGGCAGCTGGATAAAGTAAAACCTCGTCCTTCTCATGAGCACTTTGAAACAGTAATCCATGCCTTCGTCACATCCCGGGCTGGATTACTGTAATGCACTTTACTTTGGAGTCAGTCAATCCTCCATTAAGCCTCTCCCGTTGGTCCAGAATGCTGCTGCTCGCCTCTTGACTGGTACTCATTAGAGGGAGCACATTACTCCTACTCTGGCATCCCTTCACTAGCTCCCTATACATTTTAGAGTTCTTTTTAAGACCCCGTTATTTGTTTTCAAATATTTAAATGGCCTCGCTCCACCTTACCTCTCTGAGCTCCTCCCCCCCTACACACCTGCCCGGCGCCTCAGGTCTCTGGACCAGACATTATTAGATTAGCGGAGGCTCAGGGGAGATCGGGCCTTTTCCGTTGCTGGTCCCTCTCTTTGGAATGACCTCCCACTGAATATTCGGCAAGCCCCCTCGCTGCCCATCTTTAAAACTCGTCTCAAAACTCATTTGTATTCTTTGGCATTTGACTCGGCATGACTTAGACTTGATCTTAGTTTTACTGTTTTGTGCTTTCTACTGTCTTCGTTTCCAATTTGGAGTTTTATTGTTGTTTCTATGATATGTACAGCACTTTGTATACAGCGATGGTTGTTTTAAAGTGTTCTATAAATACAGTTGAGTTGAGACCACAAATGGAATCGGAAATCAGAAGTCAAGAAAAATTGTAGCAATCAAATATGAACTATTGGTCGTTTAATGTTAAGAAGGCAGTTCGGTACAAAACAACAAATCAATTCAGCAAGAAACATGAATAGACAAAGTTAATTTGCTTTTGTTGGTCATGTGAGGTTCTGCAACACCTGTAGAGTAGATAATTCAGGAAAATTAGCATTCATCCTCCGCTTATGCATTCCAAATAATTTGGTACACAGTGCAGACACGTTTCGATCCAAAATGACACGTTTTAAATCTGTTGGACATTCAGACATGTTTGTGTGTGCGCAGGTTGAAAACATCCTTCATCGTTTCCGGCAGTCAGGACTGCACACTAAAGGTGTGGGATCTCCCTGCAGACTTAACTGGCACAGACACAGACTTGCACCAGCTGGCTGCACGTGCCACGGCAAAGGCACATGATAAGGTACGACACCAACGATGAACTTGAAGAACCAGAAAAAAACGTGATAACAAAATTACTTTCCATTATGCTTGGATTACCGGATTCCCACAACCATACGGCACACCGTATTAAAAGGTGTGGTGTCATTTACGGCTGCTATTTCTGTACAGTATTTAACAAGACGCAGGCATGGTAAAAGGTGCGCTAGCATGCATGCATGCTAGCGTATGTTTTGAAGGCAGTGGGAGCAAAACCGAGTTCAGTTGTACTTTATTTAAGTATTTAACAATGTATTCATGTTATTTTTTGATCAATCCTCATCTTAAAATCCATCAAAGTCCAAAATGAAGAGCTGGGCAGGTTCACAATCAAACGCGCCAGGTTCCCCCGCGTCGTTGTCACAGTCGGTCTCGTTGCCGTGCGGCTCCTCAGAAATGATGCCGGCTTTTGCGTAAACTTGAACAACAGTGCAAGCAGACACGTAAGCCCAAGCATCAACAATCCCAATGGCCCGGCGCTGCCTCCCTGTTTTAGTAAAGCTGTGTTCGCCAACACTCCCACGCCTTTCGCAGCTTCACTCTGGCCGTTTCGATCCATTACCATGGCCACCAAACACAACAGTAAAAAACGACTTCACGCACACCGTTGTGCGTATCGCTACCCTGCTTGTCCCCTTCTTCTCGACAGTGCGGTTTATTGGGATGTCGATAGTGAGCAGCACCTCACCCATGTTGGTGATGTGGTCGGGCTGAATTTGTTTGTCGGCATTCTATTTGTTGTATTTCAAAATGCAAAATATGCTTGTCCTTCATCACTTGCCTTAGCCCAATTGCATATGTAGGAACATGGGGATTGGTTGAGAGAGCAGTCGTTAATGGAAGACAAGTGAGGCCGGCAGGGCCGCAAAATAAAGGATTAAAATCTCCAAGAAAGCATCTGTATTTAATGTAACGCAGAACGTTATACTTTTTACTGCAGTAGAAGCGGAAGATGGCCATCTTTTGCCTGTAATCCGCTGGATGTTGCTGCGCCACGGTAGTCCTTGCTTGGACGAATAGATGGCGCCCATTTTGGAGAAAATGTAAGACATTTTTTGTGAGTCTCATTGTTGTGAAACTACGGTATTTATTGAAGTGGTAGGCGTGTTTTTGCTTCGATGCCCTGAGGTTGAGTTGCCCTCTTGTGTGCAGCAATTATAATTTTTCAGCCCTGCAAAGTATTCAGGTTAATTGGCATTGACCTAATTATTCTTTGGTTTACGGAAGTTGGCTTGTCTGGCTAATAGTTCTGCGGTTCTGGGTTCAACTGCAGCTTCGGGCGTTCATATGTGGAGTGTACATGTTGTTCCTGTGCGTGTGTGGGGTTTCTATCCCTCCCTTTTCCCAAAAATGCTTCTTAACTTGATTGAAGACTCGAAAGTGTCCATAATTGTGAATGTGAGTGCAAAAGGTAGTTTGCCTATAGATGCCCTGTGATTGGCTGGTGGGCAGTCCAAAGTCAGCTGGGCTAGACACACACACAGAGACACACACACACACACACACACACACACACACACACACACACACACACACACACACACACACACACACACACACACACACACTTATATATATAAAAAAATGACACTACCACTTCATTTAATAATTTTCCGGAAAAGGCTTATTAGATGATCTGACTCACATTTAATGTCAGTCTGAATGTGACTGCTTCGGTCTGAACACAGCCACATCCCCAATGAATAAGGGTGTGCACACTTGTGCAACCGCAATAGCTTAGTTTTCCATTTTTATGTCCTCTTTAAATGAGTTTTTTTTTTTAATTTATTTTAAGTCAGACAGGTTGTAGGTCACTAGTCTGGAAAAAGTTTTAAAATTATTTTTCTTGGTCTTTATTTGATTTTATTTTTTTATTTTATATTTTTTATTTCAGAGTAGGAGATTTGGGGGGTTATTTTTTAAGATAAGCTGACAATCTCAAGTCAAGTGGCATTATCAGACCTGCTTGCAACAGTGGTTTTCTTAATAAAGCACAATAGCAAATATCAAATATGCCAACTATAGAGTCATTTGTAGGTAGAAAATCTGTAATTGCAACATTACAAGTATCGTACATCTCATGTGAAAACTATTTGCTCAATCTAGCCTTTTCCAGCCATTGTATTGAAATGCTGCTCAGTGACGTTTCAGTATCCACCCCAGTGAGAATTTTTTGGGGAAAAAAGGTGTTGCATTGTCACTTGAATGATATTTGAGTCAAAAGAGCTAATTCCTTTCTTGACTAATTCCTTTCACTCAACAATGTGTCATTTGTCGCCTGCGGTTTCGCGTTTTAAAATTCCACTCTCAGGAAGGAACTTGATATTTATTTCCTTAGAAATTCTTTTGTCCTCTCCCCTCTATGTTCTGGGTTAAAAAATAAAACCCCCTTCATCACATGGAATCTTGTTTGGTGACGTTGCCAAGTTCATTTCTTCTCCAAAGTTGACAGTGCTGTTGAGAGAAAAGAAATGAGAAATTCAACACTGTAATTTGAACATAACAGGCCAAACAAACGAGTGAACAGAATGTTTTTGTTGTGTAAAAAAACCTGCTGTTGTGTAAAAAAAAAAAAATCTGCTTTTTTTTTTTTTTTTTTTTTTTTACTTCCATATTTGGTCATTGAACATGCAAGGAGTGTCACTCATGCTGAGACAAGTTTGAATGCATAGAAAAGAGCATCACAATCCTAAATTTTGTCGCGACTCTGTCATTCCAGGATATCAACAGCGTGGCCATTTCTCCCAACGACAAGCTGCTGGCTTCTGGCTCGCAGGACCGCACGGCCAAGCTGTGGTCACTGGCGGGGGAGGCGACCATAGAATTACTGGGAGTATTTCGGGGCCACCGGCGCGGCATCTGGTCCGTGTGCTTCTCACCTGTCGACCAGGTGCTGGCCACCTCCTCTGCTGACGGCACATCTAAGCTGTGGACCCTACAGGACTTCAGCTGTCTTAAGGTGAGCCATGGGATACTTGCACTACTTATGAAAATGAGAGTAGTGCAGATGAACATGTTAAATTTGAACATGTTATTTTGCTTTTCAAAGTAGAAAATATGTTCTGCTGTTTTAATTAGACATTTGAGGGGCACGACGCATCTGTGTTGAAGGTTGTCTTTGTGAGCCGAGGCACTCAGCTACTAAGCAGGTAAATTCAACGGTTTTGCCCAGTTTGTCACAATACATGTAGATAACCAGTGATTATGTTTTTTGAACAGCAAAAAATACATACCTTGCTTTGACAACAATCAAGCTTTCAATACAAATCTTGAAAGAAATAACTGCCCATAATATTAATATTCAATATTAACACAGTGTTTAAAATTGTGATTATTAATTTAACTTTTTGAGCTGGGCGGATTCAGATTTTTCTACTCACTAATAATAGCAATTCCACCGATGCTCCCTCTGCAGCGGCTCTGACGGTTTGGTGAAACTTTGGACCATCAAGACCAATGAGTGTGTGAAGACGCTTGACGCCCACCAGGACAAGGTTTGGGGGCTCCATGCCAGCAGGAAAGACGACAAGATGGTCACCGGCTCGGCCGACTCCAACATCACTGTGTGGACGGTGAGGGATGACAAATGGATACTGTATCAAAATTAATACGGAAATAAAAATTGGTCAACCTGCTTTACAACTAGCTTTAGCATGAGCTAGCTAGCTAACTTCCCCACCAAACAAAGATCGATAGATTGATTGATCGATCTATCTCACAGTCTTTCCTAACCCGATTTAGCATGAGCTAGTGAGCTAACTAGCTAACATGATAGATTTTCATGACATGAATGTACTTCACATTTAGCCAGCAGGATTGAATACACAATTCGGACTCTGTGGCACAGCACATTTAAAAAAAAAAGAAGAAAAAAAATTGTCCATTTTTACATTTATTTCAGTTTTCAAGTGACCCATTTTCAAGAACGCTATCTTTACGTGAACAAAACAACTCTAACCCGCCGCATGAGCACATACCTAAAATATGGCTCAACACCTTCGAATTGGTGCCAAAACCAAAGTCACCACAAGTGAAAGGCATGGAACATAATTTTCCCTACGTGATGGTCTTACTCTAGGTGTGTTTGTGAAGGCGTACGTGTTTGTGCGTAATTCATTGTCTGTTTGTTTTAATGTCAGACACTCAGGCTAGTGTCTGCTTACACTTCCTTCAAGTTGGCATTTTCATCTGTGGCTGGATTCCGTTCTGAAGCTATCAAATTTCAACCAATTTTCTCTGTGAGAACCGGGTCATATGGAAGAAGAAAATATCGGTATCTATGAAAATGAAGAGGATTGGTTAAGCCATGTATAGGTGGTCCTCAGTTTACGACGGAGATCCGTTTTACTTACCTACGCTAAAGAGAACTAAAATCAATTCTATTCTCAATAAACATCCTTCCTTTTTTACAGTTATGGACAACGTAGAGTCTTAAATGAAGCAAATATGCCTGTTTTGGAAAGAGTGATGAAAACTGAGGCAAATGAAAAGGACATTTTATTTGGTACAAAATTATTTTGTGTTTTGTTATCAAAACTATTGTAAAACAAAAACATTACCTTAAATCTAATTTCAAAAAGTTTTGTTTTTTATTTAATCGAAAATGAATAACTTTATCGATTGTTAAATTTGCCACAACTCTGTTCTGGTCTACAGTAAATAATTGTATGAAAAACACATCTCGGCCATTATAAAAATTAAAGAGTTTGCCTTCTTGTGATGAAGTATCAATAATAAAAAAAATGTCGTACCACAATTTAGAGGTCCAGCAATATTTGACTTTTCCATGTAAATTTTCTTGCAAAGAGACTTTGTCAATATGCAGAATTAATGTCGTCTTATGTCCATTACCAGGATGTGACGGAGATCGAGCTGGCCGAGGAACAGGCTAAGCAGGAGGACCAGATCTTAAAGTAAGTCACCAGGCCACACAACCTTTTGATGCATAAAAATTGTAAACAACCTGCTTCACACTTGAGCAAAGATTGCTGCTTTTGGGGTCAAGGGTCATGCTCGTCTTTTGACCGTGACAACACCTCGGGCTGGGAAGTAGACAGGTTGCCTGCATGCTTAGCAATTACGCACGTGCATGTAGTTAGTCATGGTTTCGTAAGGGAAAGCCTTTTTTTAGACGAAGCGGACAATGTGATCTATATCAACTTTCGGAGGTAGAATTACTTCCTGGTCTTGCTTTAACGTCGGTTCACATTAATCTCTAGACATTGGACTTGACGTTGTATAAAGATGGAAAAAGCTGGAGCGCCAGGAGAAGCAATAATATATATATGATAGTGTATTGTGTAACTGGTTTGAGTGTGTTTTTGTACCTTTAATAGTGAATATCATTAGTTGATTTAATGAGATGATAAATTGCAGAGATGATAATCTGTGCAAGTGACTTCAAGTACTTCAGGCATTCTCTTTCAGAGCAATGATCCGCCCCCACAACTGTCTGTTTTGTGGACAGAAACCTGAGCAGTGGTTCATACTCAATGGAATGCAATCAGAAAAATCTGGCTTGTTGAAATCCTGTTCTGTTTGCCTCCCTGACTATGTGAAGGCAACAGGAGTTGTCCAACCTGCTCCATGAGAAGAAATACCTGAAAGCGCTCGGCCTCGCCATCTCGTTGGACCAGCCTCACACTGTGTTGTCTGTAATTAAAGGTACTTAACCCTTTCTTTATCATGCACGTGTAAAAAAAAAAAAAAAAACCCTGAAATGCATTCGATTCCAGGCTCGAGACCACAATCTTTTTTTCAGTGTGTGCGAGTAACAATTTCCTTTCGTTTCATTCGTCCCTGCTTCCTCTAACACAGGCAGGCATTTTGTTCGACCATTGCGGTTGAAGGCTGTCCTCTTTTTCACTTTGCCATAGTCTCCTCATTATTCTACTTTGGACTTGCGCTCAGTTCCATTCATACTACATTTCAGCGCATTTGTAATCCATTTCTAATCCGCTTATGCTCACAAGGGTCACGGGACAATGCTGGAGCCTATGCCAGATGTCTTAGGGCAGTAGGCGGGGTACACCCTGAACTGGTTGCCAGCCAATCGCAGGGCACAACCATCCGCGCTCACGCTCACACCTAGGGATAGTTTTGAGTATTCCACTACCTCCCACGCATGTTTTTGGAATGTGGGAGGAAACCGGAGTTCTCGGAGAAAACCCACGCAGGCATCGGGAGAACATGCAAATCCCACACAGGAAGGGCGGAGCCGGAACCATGCACCTCTGCACTGTGAGATCGACACGCTAACCAGTCGAACACCAGGCCGCCGATCCATCCATCGGGCGGCATTTAAAATCCAATTGGCAAAAACTATGCCAATTAAGACAACTATTCATCAGCATGCACGGTCATGTGTTACCCAGGCAAAAAAGATGCGACTAAATTGTGTACGTTGGTCGCTCCATTGCTACGAGTGGAAAAGTTAGTGCAACGTCCCGACGTTCCATCATTCTCCTCCGATAATAGAAAAACAATCGAAAAAGGTATTTTCACCTATAAATAATCATTCACTCGCCAGTCTGTCATCCCTTATTGTTGATGTCTGGTTTGTTCACAAGGTGATACTGAAACAAGTAAAGTTGTTTGTTTTGGCCTTTGACCAGAGTGGACCCGGAGCAACGCGGAAAAGAGAGAAATATTGAGGCCGTAGTTGTGCCTCAGTGGTCATTTCAGCTCAAAGCTGAGTTGACGTTCTGACGATATATGATTTGTGACACCCTGCACTTAGAGAAAGTACGTGCAGGATGTCACGGGCACATTAGGAACAATCTGGTTCCACAGGTTCCTGCATCGTACTGAGACAGACCTTTATGTTCTGCTTTATGGTCTCACCTCATTTACACGCATGTTCCGTAACGTGGCGTTATGCAACACTGCTGATGCAACAATGTGCGAATGGCTAACATACCACATGGGCTCATTTGGAAAATATGGAAAGGTCCTCCTTTGTTGCTGATGTAATGTTAAACTTCTGTTCCTTACAGCAATCCGTCAAACGGAAGACAGTAGCGAACTTCTGGAGAAGACAGTTTTGAAACTTCGCGTGGATCAGAAAGGTAACCAGAGAAGAGTGCAACATCATCCATGATCTTACCATGAACCCGTTTATTGCGGTTCCCTGTCTCACTCGCTTTTCTCCAAAAAAAAAAAAAGAGGCACAGCGTGGTGTATTTGTCACTCTGACAAAGTTTACTGTAAAGTGACCCCGAAAAACAAACAGATATTGAACATGATATATTTATTCACCAAAATATTCGGACACACCGTATAATTCTGCAGTAACAAAAGTCCACTAGCATAACATCACGACCACCACAAACAAGCTAACGGAAGTTAGCGTAGATGTTACACTTTTTCTAAACCTTCGAACAACTACTACTTTGACAGACCAGAGTGTGTCGCCCTTACTATTATCATATTTTGTTGCATTCATCAATTAGCAAAGACTAGCACAATTTAACAGGAATGAATGATTTGGAAGTTGTGGAGTCAAGTAGATTGTCCCCTTGGCTGCTGTCGTCTTTCTCAGAGTCGCTGCTGCGTTTCTGTGGGGTATGGAACACGAATGCCCGGAATTGCCTGGATGCCCAGGTGGTCCTCAAGGTGCTGCTCACCCACGTCCCACCGGAGGAGCTCCTACAGTACCAGGGCGCCCGCACCGTCCTTGAGGGCCTCATACCGTACACAGGTCAGGAAATTTCCAGCGGCGGCCCGTGCATTGGGTAGCTGGGCCTTCAGTTGGGACCCACCTCTCAAGACTGTCACTATTGCGTCACAAACCATCAAATTCAAGCCGGGTGGGAGAGAGGAGAAGTGGCAGTAAAACAGGCCAAAATCCCTATGTCAAATAGTGAGGCAGGGCAAGGGTCGAGTTGCATACTAGATGTCTTAAATCGAGATGTAAACATTACTATCGACGTAGCCGCTCTGATTTCCACAGGTGAGGCATTCTGTCGTTCTCGAGCCCGATTAGAGACTGCATGCTCTCGTTTATTTATTTTTTTTCCATAGTTGAGCAAGCAAATGTAGTTCAAGGCCAATCTCTTAACATTTCAATGCAAATGTGAATGTGGCAATCTGGGTAAATAAATAAAGTGAGCTGAGATGAGGAAGGAGGAGTTCTCGGCTCTTGGAACAATTTTGAATTTGTGCAGGCAGTGAAACACACGATAGCATTGTTTCCAAAGGAGCTAAGGTAATCAGCAAGATACCGGGCTTATCAGTTAAAATACAATACATCTTTCTTTATTTACCGGTTTCTTCCTCTGTAAGGTGGCACTCACATGCACTCAAGTATGCTTTGGTGGAAACTTGGCAGAACAAAGTGAAACCACACGATAGAGTACGTGCAAGATACAATATCACATGAAGGCTTTTTCCCCGCCCTTAGAGAGACACGTGCAGAGGATTGGCCGTCTGCTGCAGGCGTCCATGTTCCTGAACTACATGTGGCAGAAGATGAGGGTCGCCGGAGCACCAACCAGGTGAGGGATGCTTGTCTTTGCCATGAAATCTGAAAGTCAAGGCGACTGGCTAACAAGTAGAAAATACAGGAAATGCATGTAATTTACCCCCTTGGAATTGTAGTTACGCCAATGAATAACATACCTGTTGCAATATACATCAATCTATTGAGCACTAGTATATAAAAGAGAACTTTTTTTCCACACCGAAGCCACACATTATTCCACATCCTTTGATGCCCTCTCAGGTGTACTTGTGTACTGACGGCCACAGTAGTATGACTCAGGTAGTGTTGATCGATGTCAGGAGGAAAAAGACAGTTGGCTAACTTAACTAAAGCGCAAGCTGAACTTCAGCAGTTCCACGGAGCACAGAGACAATATGCCTGTAAGTATCGACGGATGTTCTCCTTTTGTTACCATAGTATGCTATTTTTTGTTAGCCCGTCTATGGTGTTTCCCATTTAAAGCTAGCGAACTGATGGTAAGCTTATAAAGATGGCAGTGATGCTGTGTTGAACTTACTTTGAATTAATTGATTATGTCAAATGAATGACTTGAAGCAAGAACACTGCCTCTTATTTGGAGAACTGTCAAATGAACCGGACATAAAAAGTCTGCACACCTTCGTTCAAATGCGAGGATTTTGTGACTTTAAAAAGAAAATTTTTCCATCATTGATGTGGCCTATAAAACTCAATTGAATAAATGCCTCTGATTAACCCACTTAAAGTTTGTCTGTGCTCGTCAGCTGTTCCCAAGGTGGTTTTTTTTTTTTTTTTGCTTTTTAGCTGAAGGCTGATTGTCTTGTGCTAACACTGACTGCTTTTTTTTTTTTGTTTTAGCTGAACTGGGGTCTTAGTCAAGGTGGAGGGGATTACGAACAGTTCCAAATAACAGTCATTGTTAGCACAAACATTTGCACCCCACACATCTCACGTGATGGAAAGAATTTATAGCATAGCTGATATGAACTGATTACGGTTTTCACAGAAAAGACTCGGTCAAACAGTCAGTTCCAAGGTGGTGGACAAACAAATACCGGTCAGGTGATCAAAATCTATCTGTGCTCAGAAATGTAGGTAACTGCCGTATTTTCACAAATATGGCATTTGAGTGTAATCCAAATGTCCTGTCTTCTCTACTAGGATGAGGCAAGATGAAGAAATGGACACCGCACCTCTTGCTTCTGAACCCGTATTAATGATCGACAAAGAGGGTGGAAAGGGCAGCGGCGAAGACAATCATGATGAGGGTGATAGCGGAAACGATGGAGATCCAAATTGTTCCGCTGAAGAGGAGGAGGAAGAGGATGATGACGATGAGCAGGTGAGCACCACCAAGAAAGCCACCACGAATGGGAACCACCATCCGGAGAGTGAAGCAAGTACTGAGGAGGAAGACCAGGAAGAGCAGGAGCGGTATCAAATGACAGTGAACACTGCAAGAAGTCTCCCAATTTCCTCTTTCCCACAAGGCTCTGCTCTCACGAGCTGACCGACGTCATGAAATTCTCCTCCACACCTGCGGTCAACTTTTTTTTTTTTTCCATTAGTGACAGCGATCCATTGAGGAAGCAAGAGGAATGCTTTGTTGTTTACACACAGCAGGAAGAAGCAACAACATCCAACAATGATCGTTTTGTTCTGCTCGATCGACCGGCTTTTCCGCAGTCAAGCGAGACTCTGTTTTTCCGTTTCTTTGTTGTGACTACGTAATAAACATGTGCTTGGTTCTGCTTTCTAATTAAAATGAAACAAGACGTATTTTAATCCAAATGGATTAGTGTGTTGAAATGTTCTTCATCCATGACATGACCACAGAAACTTGACATCTTTTCATGACTGCGCATCCTTCGTGTCTCTTACGCAGCTGGCCTGGGATCAAACACAAAAAAGGTTCACGACACAACCCCAGCACGGGGCCAATGGTAGTTTACGTACTGCTAAACATATTTTACTTTTGTGCATCTGATGTTTAATTGAGCAAGAAAGTTTTCAAAACAATGCCAAGAAAAGTAACGCAATAATGGGACCAGTCGTCGTATAGTACTTCACGTATCTGACAGCTGGTGTGGAATTGGGGTTAAAAAGTTCTCGACACAATGCCAGGAGAAATATAACTGCGCCAGCAGGTGTATAGTGGTTCATATATCTGAGCTTTGTGCAACCTGTGTGAGATTGAGTGAAAAGATTCATAACACAACACAATATCAAGTGTCAATATATATAGAGAGAGAGAGAGAGAGAGAGAGAGAGAGAGAGATAGATAGATAAAATATAAGAATGATAATGGGGCCACTGATAATGCAGTACCTAACATATTTTATCTATAGGATTAGGTGAAAAGGTTCACAACCTAAAAGCGGTTTGTTCGAAATCTGAAACTATTTTATTAGCCCATGATTAGGGGCTAATAGATTATGTAGAATAAACACAGTCAGATTTGCGTAAATCACATCCAACACGTCTGCTCACAATGGACGTTACACGAGGAAGCCGAGACGAGTCGAGTGGCTCATTCGGGTTTCCTCAGTTTGGTCGAAAACCGGTTTTCAGTCGTAATGCGAGGCGTAAAAATGTCTAATTTTCTGGTCGAACGTTCAAAAACCGTATCAGGAAATATAATATACAATAATAGAATAATAGGACCAATGTTAAGGTTGTCCACATATCTTTGGATAGCTGGTGTAGGGTTGAGCGAAAAGGTTCATAATCCAATGCCACAAAAAGTAAGAATCATGGGATCATTTATAGAGTAATGGTTCACATTGCTGACCATGCTGCTGCTGGCAAAGGATTGAGTGAAAATCTTCACATCACACAATGAAGGAAAACTGTTCAGCTAATATAATGATAGTGTGAGCATTGATAGTGTAATGATTCACATATCTAACCCTTGTGCAGCTGGTGTCGGATTGGGTCCCAAGGTTCACAATGAAATGTCAAGAAAAATGATATCATAATGGAGCCATTGTTTGTGTAAGTGGTTCGCATTTCTTACCTTTGTACGGCGTAAATAGAATTGGGTGAAAAGATTTCACGGCGCAATGTCAGGAAACGTAATCGGGCCGTTGGTAACGTCGTGGTTCACATCGTGCGGCTGCCGTGCGATTGGGCAAAATGGTTCACGGTGCAACATTAGGGATTATAATAGTGGAGCCATTGTGAGTCGTGTTTCATCTAGCTGACATTCAGACAACTGCCAAGGTGAAAGGTTCACAAACAAATATCAAGGAAATGATGTTAGCATTGGTAGTGTAGTGGTTCATATAGCCGACTTTTGTTCAGCTGGCGTGAGATCTGTACTGAAGGGATTTTCATTCACAGTATAGGCTTTCATATTGCTGTATTGCGGTTTTTCATACAGTGACAAAATACTTCCTTTCATGGTTATAGATGATTCGGGTGAAGGTTTGTAATGAGTGACTGCAAATAATGTTTTTCTGAGTGTAAATGGGAGACTGTTTGCATTTGGGTTTGATTGAGCAAGAGGGGAGGGGGGGGGGGGGACCCCGGCCGGACCCCTGGACTGGAGATCACAATTGGCACTTAAAACGCATTCAGTACTGTACCAGCCAATTCTGGACCAAGTCTGCAAAGACGTTTAAAAACGTCTTTGGGAGTGAATGAGTTAAAAAGGCCCCCACAGCAGGACGGCCATTTCCAACAACAAAAGATGGCCAAATGTGGAAGACCGTATCCACATCAAAGGAAGATTCACCATCGAAGGACAATTCACACCTAATCTGACAGATGCCGTTGATAACACCTAGACCAGTGTTTTTCAAACTTTTTTGAGCCAAGGCACACTTCTTTCATTAGAAAAATCTCGCGGCACACCACTAGCTGAAAATGTGAAAAAAAACGCTTATTTGAATAATTAATGTTATATTGTTACTATAACCGTTTTTAGCATTGAAGAATGACTTTATAACAGCTTGAATTGGAATCAAATGAACACAAAGAAAAAAATATTTTCTCATCTTTCATATTTATTGTTTCACCGTCGTCCTGCATTCATGCGTCACAAATTCGCTTGTCTCTCGTCTAAACACAAGGCAATTGGCTAGCTGTTGCTCCTCCCTAGCGGTATGGGAGGGTACTACACGATTAATTTCTGGGCGATAGACTGCGCAGGCATACAAATTGGATATTTTCCCGCGGCACACCTGACAATGTCTTGCGGCACACTGGTGTGCCGCGGCACAGGGGTTGAAAAACACTGACCTAGACCAGGGGCCCCCAACCTTTTTTGCCCCACGGACCGGTTTATGTCAGACAATATTTTCAGGGACCGGCATTTAAGGTGTGGCGGAAATAATACAACAAAATAATATGGTATGAGCTGCATGAAAACTG